GGGGGCGGCCGCAGCGCCAGTTTGCGCGGGGAGCAGAGCTCCCTGTCCCTGCGGCTCCTTTTCCCTCGCTTCCCCCCGCGCGCCTTTTGTTGCGCGGCCGCGGGGTCCGCGCGCGGCTCCGCCGCATCTCCGCGCCCGCCGCTGCCCGCGAGGGAAGGGGGCGTGGGCGCTTCTGCTGTAGCTGAACAGGCTTCGTGCGTTTGCGTTTTTATTTTTTTATTATTTTTCATTTTTTCCTTAGGAGCCATCAGTTTTCAGTTTCACACTTTGAAATAACCGCTGATGGCAATGAGCAGACCCGTAAGGTGGAAGTTCTGTTTCTCAAGGAGTTTACTTTTTACCTGATACACTTAAGATAGGCATTGAGAAATTCTTTATTTTGTATCCACTAATTAACGATCCAGCTGTTTACAGGGACGATTCACTGTGCTGGTGTTTTGGTGGCAACCACTGCTACAGGCTTTCAGACTTGCTGAAATGAAAATCCTGCATACACATTTGTAAGGCATAATAAAACATAACATTAAAACCTGCATGCATGTTATGTTTAATCAAAGACAACTCTTAGGCATTTAAGTGGTGAGATATCTTACTTTAGGTTAGTTAAATAAACTGGTAGTAAAATGATTAATATAATCTGATCTCTTTCTAATAATAATAATAAAACACTCATGATTCTAAATAAAAGTTGTTTGGCCTAAATCTTTGCTATCAGAAAAGAGATATAGCATATCTGGGAACTTAAATTTATGTCTTGCATTGTGATAATTCTTTATGAGAAACTGTGTTTTAAAACAAATACAAGATATCCTTGGCAATGGATAGTCCTCAATAAAACAGAGTTTCTTGCAATTTTCAGTTTTTGGTCTCAAATGATTAGTGTGTTCTCCATATAATAACTTAGGAATCAGATTGAAAACAAATGACATTTATCTCTTCTTAGGCAAAAAGAAAAAAAAAAGTGAAAGAAAATAGATACACTGAAGTGCTCTAGCCTAGCCATTCACTATCCCGCTATTGAAAATCAGCTCATGGGTTAGGATGATGGAGTAATTCGATGAGGTTCTAGTCTTAAAACTGAGCCAAAATTCTCTTAGTAATTCTTGAAGCTATCAGGAGCGCAAGGGGCCGTTTTCTTCCAGTCCCTTTCTTCTGATATGCATCCTTGTTTACTAACGTGGTAATAGGCAGTGTCATTAAACATTTGTGCTTTACAGATGTTCAATGAGTTATGAATGATTATGGTCAAGCATAGGCTGGATTTTGTTTGCTTTGTAATAAGGTCTGTGTTTCAGCCTATGGAATTTTCAAGTTATGTATATTTTTGGAAGGTGTTTTTAAAATTACTGTTTAAAATATTTGTCAAGGATAACAAAAAGATCCACGTGTAGAGCAGTTGGGCATATTTTAAAAGAGCAACAGGTCTACTTTAGTCAAAGAATATTTACTCAGAAGTATATCTTTTCTTTCTTCTAGAATATACAATACCATACCAGGTGAAAATTTTGAGTGAAGGCATATGGTGCAGGGAAATGATTTTTTTTGTTGTTGTTCAGACTGTTTGATTTTCGTTTATTTCAGAGTTTGAAGTTGTATGTTGCTAATGGCAAATTAGATAGTGTTCTGGTTAAGCCACTACATTGTTAGGGCTGAAATTTGTTCCTGTTGAATGCCTAAGCTCCTACTGATCTCAATGAGAGTAAAAACAATCATCATTAATACAGCATCTGTTAAGTTACTCTCATTTGTTTTTGCTTTTGTCATATCTAATAATATTCTTCAACTATTTCTTTTTCGTTTTCAGTAGGGTAAAAATTCTTGTTTACCTGCTAGAGCAGTCCTGTTCCAGGCTTAGTATTTCTTGTTGCCTTCTTTTACAATCTTTGCCTTTGTCTCTGTACAATACTATTCTAAGTGTAATCAGATTTAATGATAGAGAAAAATTGAGCTTTTTTTTTATCTGGAAATGTCAGCTCAATGCAAAACCTAATCAAACGTGATTCTTTTTTAATTTTTAAAATGAACGCATTTCTAAAATTAGCATTTTTCTTCCATTTTGTTGATTTTATTGTGTTTTTCTCCCTTTCCTTTAACAGAGCTGCAATTAAGAAATACTTTATTCCTTTAATGATGGTCTTTTTACCAATGTGATAGAAAGACTCATTCCAAATATCCTTTAAGTGCTTCATACTCTTTAGACTTTCACTGTCATCCTGCTTAAACTTCTGCAGGTCTATTGAATGTGATTTGCGTGTGTGCAGTCTGATCCTTCACTCGTGCCTGTTTGAGGAAAGGGCAACCAGGTAAAACTGGTGTGGGCTCAAATCAGGGCCATATAATTTTTAAGTGTTTGATATTCTACATAGCCATTACGTTCCTTCGCTTTCTGTCTTTGTACATCCTTGTAGTTCTGCCTGGTAAGGCCTTAAACCTGCACTGGTGAAAGAAAAAAAAAAAAAAGGAATCTCATTGAGTTTAATGGGTGCTTTTGTCTCAAGGGCTGATGTCAGGATGGGTGTCTTAGTTCCTCATACTTAGTTCTGTCATTTGTAACCATGGCCAGGAAGAAA